AAAACTGGTCAATATCACCATGAGTTCCTTCTTTTGGAAGCCAGTAAATGTCTAATGTTTTGGAAGAGTCCAGAGGAGAACTTTGATTTCTAGAAAGACCAAATGGGAAGAAACAGATACAGTCTCCAGAGTTCCATATATAGTGTAGCTATTCTCAGCAGGATTCCAATCCAATGTAGATTTTTTCTAGCCTGCGGAGGACATTTTCAAACGCCCAGGGCTGACATTTAGCTGGTACCCATTTGGTATGAATGTACTTTGTTAAAATCACTTTTATACCAGTTGGTAATTACCTCTTGTCCTGAGCCCCCCGGATACTGAACCCTTCAACGCTGACACCCTGCCTTCCACAAAAACATCCTATGATTTAGCAACTAAAAAGTTAATGCCTGACACAGGATGAGGCTCTGACTATGCAGAGCCATTCTGAGTGGACACTGGTTAAATATCTTGAATATCACCCTGCAAATAGCGCTTGTTTCCAGGTATGTTAGGTATTAATTATTTTCTGGAAAGCAATCTGACTGTGCTAGCTTTGAGAATGAGAGCATTTACCTCCTTTGGTTTATTTACCTCCCTGGGGTTTATTTTCCTCATCTGTCAACTGGTAGAGTGCCTTGGCTTAGGGTTCAGACTGGGTTCCAGAGTTGCCTCAAGGGGAGATTGCTGATGGATAGAAACCTGGCCCCACTTCCTGCAGAGCAGCTCCTCCTCCAGGCCTACTCACTGGGGTCCCCATTTCCTCCATTGTTTGGAGAAAGGAGTTTGAAAACTGAAAACTGAATTTTGCTGCTAAAAAAAAGTTTGGAAAAAAACCCCAAAAAACTAGCTTCAATAAGCACTAATCTTTCATCCTTTCTAAAAACTGTAAAATTCAATTATGACTACAATTAACAGAAAGAATGGCATCTGTCTACCAAGAGCAAATAGCTACATTGGGCCTACTCGGTACCAGGCATTGTTCCAAGTGGTTTGCGTGTTTGAACTCACTTCACCCACAGAACTATGCCTATGTTATAATTATTTTTACAGTTATTAAAGTCCAAAAAGTGTATGTTCAGAGGTATTTATTTTCACTTTTATAATTTTCTTAGATACAATTGAGGTTATAATTTATTCAAAGCTAACATTCCTACAATGACTGTTTAATGAAATGTAATCATGATAACGTCTTTCTTATATGCTCCAATTACAGATTTCTATGCATATTTTAAAGAGTGTTTTGTCTTTAACATTTGGATTTTATCTTGACATCATTCGATTAACAGTATGTACTATACTTTATAAATTATACATTAGACTATGTATGTACTTTCTCTGTGGCTTATACCAGTGGTCCCCAACCTTTCTGGCACCAGGGACTGGTTTCATGGAAGACAGTTTTTCTATGGACCAGGGCGGGGGATGGTTCTGGGATGATTCAAGCCCATTACATTATTGTGCACTTTATTTCTATTATTAGATTGTAATATGTAATGGAATAATTATACCACTCACTATAAGGTAGAATCAATGGGAGCCCCGAGCTTGTTTTCCTGCAACTAGATGGTCCCATCTGGGGGTGATGGGAGACAGTGACACCAAAGTGTGTTGCTTATGTCCAGTTCACTCTGCAATCTCGTTTGGTTGCTGTCACTGCAATCTCAGGATATTCTGCCTTGACTTTAACCCAGAACGTATGGGGATTTGAAGTTCTCTCAAACATACATTTAAGGACACTAGATGCAGCTATACAATTGAAGTACATCAACTCACTTGCCACTATAAAGCCTGCCACCAGAGGCAGCTTAATTGTCACTTGCCACACACTGACAGGATTTTGATAAGAGCCTGTAAGTAATTGATTTATTATGGTCTCTGCACAGTCAAACCTCTCTGCTAATGTTAATCTGTATTTGCATCCACTCCCCAGTGACTGCATCACTACCTCAGTTCCACCTCAGATCATCAGGCATTAGATTCTCACAAGTTGCATGCAACCTAGATCCCTTGCAGGCACAGCTCACAATAGGGTTGGTGCTCCCATGACAATTTAATGATGTCACTGATCTGACAGAAGGTGGAGCTCAGGCAGTAATGCAAATGATGGGCAGCGGCTGTAAATACCGATGAAGTTTCCACTCACCTGCCGTGCAGCCCGGTTCCTAACAGGCCATGGACCTGTACTACAGGAATGTCTGAAAGATGCACTGTGTACTGTACGAGTGTCAGTCTGTGGCCTGGGGGTTGGGGACCTCTAGCTTATACTGTTTGTTTCTTCACTTTCAACCAGACCTGGAAATCAGTTTTTAATGCCAGTCCGTGGCTGTGGCTCTGGGTAGCTGTAAATGCGCTCAGACATTTCCTGAGCTCCAGCTCCTGACTGCCATGGCTTAACTGGGATAAATAGCTGAATGCAAACCTGAGCATGAAATTCCTCGTCACTGTCCTTTTCCGGAACATGAGTTTATGGAAGGCATCACGGGCCCTGCCTGCTCCCTCCTGCCTCCACTGCTGCGCTTCCGAGGCACTGGGTTGCTCAGGATCTTGTGCTTTTCCCTCCCAGGGCCTGGTCCCTGTGCTCCTGGATGGAAGGGAGTTGCTGGCCATAGTTCCCTGGTTCCCTGGAACAGCCTAACTTGGGTCCTTGCTGGTGGACGGCACTGTCTTTTCTTAGTGAGTCCAACAGAGTTGGGAAATGGAAACTATATCATGTGAGAAAGTAAAGCTGCAAGGGATGAGGAGGAGAAGGTTCTGAGGGTTCCTGTGTTTTAATAAAGTGGCAAAGCACAGGAGAGAGGGATTCCACTAATTCCTGTAGCCTTTACAGGCAGGAACAGAGCTGGTGTCAGGCAGGCTCAGGAGGCTGTGTGTCAATGAAGAGAAGGAAGCCTTCCTGTCCACTGAGCGATCCACACTGAGGCTGTATCCACACAGTCATTGTATGATAACTCATCAGGGATGACAGATGAATCCAAACAGGATGTGTAGCTTGACCAGATGAGCTTTATGCAGCATTAACTATCCATCCAAGACTTCAACTATTTTGTCTTAATGATCCCCAAAACAGACGTTAACTTGTCAGTCTTGACTTGAAGTTAAAAAACAAAAGACCTCATTTCTTTTATCTGTAAAGCACCAGCCCATTCTGAGATTTGATAGTTTCTTGCTGATGTCTTGCTCAGACTTTTTCAATAAATATTGAAATGATTAGAATTAAATAGAATTCTTATATATTTGTATTTGTTCATCTCCTGTCTGTATTTTGGGTTAGGGGGATAGAGTTCAAGGAAAAGGGTAAGAGACATGGTTGGTTTATGTCTGGAGTCAAAGCCTTATGTTAATGAGGAAGCTCTGTCAGGGGAATTTCAGATATTGGCCAGTGGCAGTGGTGGGAACCTGGGGGTTGGTGTCCTTGAAATAATATCACAGAGGTGGTAAGTGGCCAGTGTGCCTGGATGACCCAAAGTTGAGTGAGGTCTCTTCTGGAGGCTGACTGCCCAAGCAGCCTGAAGAATCACAGAGATACTTTTTGGTTGGTATTATCCTTCTCCCTTCTCCCCAGAGCTATGCCTGATTTGGGCTGAGACAGCAGAAACTACACAATGCATGTTTCAGACATTCCTGCTTTAATATGTTAATATCTCGCTCACTCTCCAGACCAGAAATCTCATATCTTGTCCTACCCTTTTCCACACAAAAATAAAACTACATTACATATAGAATATTTAAGTGTAGCTGTTACTTATCCCATTGTAACCAGCCATGTTGACTTCTTTTTTGTACGTGTGTCTTGCCTTGACACGCTTTCTTTATTGAAGACCATGGAAAAATGGATTTCTTTGTGATATTTTGAAAAATGGCAAATTGAAGAGATTTTTATCTCTGGAGACTGAGCTTTTACATCATAGAGTACTTCTCTCCCCTGATGGCTAACCCAATCACATAGTTCCACAATAAACAAGATAAATCTAGATTAATAAGATAGTATGTACAGAAAAATCCTTTTACTCTTTGTGGCTTCTTTCCCTGTGCTTTGAAAATGTTCATTAAAAATCTCCTACTTAGTCTGCCTCATTATATTGGTTTACTCATCTTGGTCTCCCTATTTTAATGATTTAAATCACAATTTGAAAAGATTTCTTGTTTGGAACATCCTTGGCCAAGCCATTACTTTGTAAAGTAGGGAAGTCTGGAGGCCCTAGTTGTTCTTTTGAACTTAGTTCATAAAATGATTGTTAAACACTGATCTATCAGCTTTTCTCTTCTCTTTATCAAAATTAATAATTCACATGAAAGCCACCTATTTAAATGGAGTCTCAGCTGGGTACCGTGGTTTATGCCTGTAATCCCAACACTTTGGGAGGCTGAGGCGGGTGGAATGCTTGAGTCCAGGAGTTCCAGACCAGCCTGAGCAACACGGTGAAATCTGTTTTCTACAAAAATTACAAAAATTAGCCAGGTGTGGTGGTGCACAACTGTAGTCTCAGCTACTGGGGAGGCTAAGGCGGGAGGATCACTTGAGCCTGAGAGGCAGAGGCTGCAGTGAGCCATGATTATGTGACTGTACTCCAGCCTGGTGACAGAGCCAGATCCTGTCTCTAAATAAATAATAAATAAATAAATAAATGGAGTTTCATTGTTAACAACTTATACAACCTGGAAAAATCAACTGAACTGTAAATATTGGCATGGATGAGTGCATAAATACTTTCAAAAAGAATTACAACTTCTCTGTAATAACCATCAAGACTATTTAGCTAACAGGAGGTCCCTGGAAGACCTTTCAGATCTGTCTGTAAAAGAAAAGGAACCCTGGCAATTCACAAGACAACCCAGCAATGCTGCATCTGCTCCTGGGGCAGGTAACAAAAGCCAGTTTTAAATTTTGCTCTAAACAGTTAAGGAGATAATCAAGTCAGCTTGGGATTGGGTTGTGCACAGGAAGGCTGCAAAAAGATTACAAAATAGCCTCCCCCTGGCAGAAATGTAAAAAAGCCATTCCATGATTTTTTTTTCAGTTCTGCCAACGATTCATCTTCAGAAGACAAGCAGATGAGGAGACAAAACCTACTGATGTGGGTACCCAAGCAGGAACCCCCCTCTTGCACCGGCGACTCAAGTGGGAAGAAGGTAGGAAATCAACAGCACAGGGGAAAGAAAGGGAAAAGGAGTTTGGAAACAAGACAAGACAGGCTTCTTTTGAATAATGGAGAGGACTCTTAGAAAAAAGAAAAGAAACAGAATAAATTTGTATTCACTGATTCCATTTCAGCGCAGCAAATGCTCATTGGCTTTAATCAATTGCTTTCTTACAGAGTTTTGTCCATATGTATGTGACAAAATCCGCGGTCATTTAATGACAGACTTAGAATGTGTGCTGAGAATGAAACCGTTGAGATTTCCTTGTCTTTCCTCCTTTCAGTAAAAATCAGGAAGGGGAGAAAGGGAGGGGGTGAGGGTGGGACAAGGAGACCAATATTTTATAAAAGTGACAACACGTTTTACATTTGAATTATTTATTTTCCGTGATGGAATTTCAAGTGGGTTATTGCAAGGAAAGGAAAAACTGGAAATTGACCAAACATGGTCCAGGCTGGGGATGACGAGTTTAGTAGGGGCTTTAATGGGGCCTCCTAAGCGATTCAGGAGAGAATGAATCTCTCACAGGTTCCCTTCTCATGGGATCACTGACTAAGCTTCCCCAAATCAGGGTGCAGCAACAAAATCAGGGTGCAGCATCTTCTAAGTGGGCTTAAGAAGACCCACTTAAAAGCTTATCATAGCGAGATGTTGAGAAGACAAAGTTTTAGATTTTTATAGAGCAGAAAATGATTCCTTTTGAACCAAACAAAAGACAAGATATATGAGATGAGGAAAAAAAGCTTCTGTCTAAAAGCCCGACGTGTGTAAGACTTTCCCTCCACTGTTGTTTTCCCTTTGGTTTGGTAAGAATGTGGTGAGTGAAGTAAAAAGAAAAGGCGAGAAGAACCACAGAGACCCCCTCGAAGCGTAAAACGCTGTTAATTAAGAGTGAGAACGTTCAGTGGCCTGTGACCCTCCCTTTCCTAGGCCACCATCCCCAAGGCTTGGCTCTTCCCTGCCTTGCTCCAGGTGGTCCAGGCAAGGGCCTGGATGGGGGTACTGAGGGTGGGGGAGACAGCTCTGGGTCCTTCTGTGCCACTTCCTCCCTGTGCTGGTGTTTCAGCAGCAATCTGCTCCTCTGCGATGGCAGCCTGTCCACAGCTCTAGTGCCCACAGACTTGGGGACCCCTTTCTTTCCCCTCGTCTGACTCTTCAGGCCTACAGTGGTGAGGGCTTCCCACTGTGCTTATCTCTGGGTACCTCAGCCTCTCTGGCTGTATTTTCTTAACCCTGTTCCCTACTCTGTAAACAGACCCTACTTTAAGTTCACCTCAGCCCTCTTAATGAGATTCTCTTTCATGGGATTCTGACTGATAGAGTGGGGCTAAAAAGATCTCAAACTTGAAAGAAGCTGAGAGGAGCTGAAATTTTGAGTTGCAGAAACCTGGATGCTTGCCACGATATAGAGGAGGGCAAACCATTTATTATTTATACAATTTCAGGCAAATAGGTTATAGAAATTCCAGGTACAAAAGATCTGAAGAGATGACTAAAAACGAACTAGGATTAATTATATTAATCATGGACTTTTAAAATCATCAGAACCACCAGCTGCTCAATTACAAAGTCCAAAAAGACTTCAAGAATTATTCAAAACTAAATCATGTCAACTCTCTAGAATGATTTATTCAAATTTAAGTAGGCCAGACTCACAATTTGGAGCACAGCTCTTTAATACATATAGATTCTAATTTTCTAAAAGAGAAAGAAAAATGGATTTGTTACTTGACTATTAGAAAATTCGTTGCATATTTAAAAAGCAAGAGAACTTAGCTGTCTGCCTGGTTCCAGTCTGAGGTATAAATGTTTACCTCATCATATATTAAGTATCTATAGATTATGCTCAATACTTTTTGCAAAATGTAGCATAAAGTCACTACTCATGCCATTAAAATAGACAACAACTATGTAATTTCAGAAAATGTAAATAAGTTTTCCTAGCTTTTGATTTTTTTTTTTTTTTTTTAGCTTTGGCCTTATCTTTTCAGGTAGTGGCTGGCATTATGGATTAATTACTTAATACACTTTTGTTGCCTTAGAATTCACTGAGTTGAAATGGAGTGAGAGCTACGATGCTCTCAGAATATCCTTAAAATGTGCTGCAAAGAAGCCTGGGTGAGTAGAAGAAAATAAAAGGAATGGTGAATACAAGGAAAGGTTAAAATGAGGTAGGAACTAAATATTATACTGGCACTTGGGGTTACTATTTATGAATTGTTACTTTCTGGCAATGCTCTACTCTTTTGTATCTTCTTTGGGACAGAAAATTCCATAAGAAAGACCTTTCCAGGAAGAGCTTGTCCCTAAGCTTATGGGCTCAGGGTTTGAACAAAGCGTCTCTTCCAAGACCTTGTGAATAATATGCATATGGTCCACATAACTTCACAAAGTAAAGTTAAATGAACGCATTCTTTTCTTGCTATTAGACCCCGTTTATCGCACTAGCTGCTGGTGATTTGAGCGCTCCTTTCCAAGCCTCTTGAGAGTTCTGCTCTAACAACACTGCCCCCTAGTGTTCTCTCGCTTTGGTGCAACGTGAGTAAAAAAACCACAAGATTTACTTTCAATACACACACACTGTATTCATCAGTGTTTTGCTATAGAGAATGTAAGATATCTTTCTGTAAATTATTTATTTAATCCTATTTATTTATCCCAATAAGATATTAAAGCATACTAAGCTGGAATGATTTTTTTTCATAAATGGGTAAAGGCAAAAGTAAAAGTTTAGATACTATGAAATAATTCCTGATCTAATAAACTGAGACAAATTACCTAATATTTTTGGGCACCTATTATGTTAGACATGTAAGAAATACTGTATTAAAAGTGAAGTCTGAGTAAGCCTAATTCAGTACTTAACTTTTAAAGTCAGAAACATTCTAAATATATTTATTAATTTGATCTCAAATTTGGGGAAAATAGTAAAGATGGAAGAGAGAAAAGGGAGAATTTTAAAATTTTACATATCTAAGTGGTTTGGTATTATGTTTTAATTGAAAAATATTTTAAACAAGTCCATTCTGATAAGATGTAGAAATTCTACTTGCAGCTTTAGGACAAAGTGAATTTAAAACAAAGGCTTTCTACTTGAAATGTGGCCAGTGTGACTAAGAAATGGAGTTTCTAAATTTTCATTTCATTTTAATTAACTCCATTGATTTAAATTTTAAAACTGATACTCAAATCAGTCATTGAAAACTTTTAAGTATGTTTGTAACAACTTAGGTATCTGAATCTATTTTTTTCAAATGTAAATTTTAAGATACCTACTTAGATTAAATATTCCTAATAAAAATATAGCATTTGAATTGCAAGTGCTGTAAGTGAAAAATGTACACCACATTTCAAATGTTTCATACAAAGCCAAAGGAAAGTCATATTTCTCATTAATAATTGTTATATTTAGTACATGTTGAAATTGATATTTAGATCTATTATGTCAAACAAAATATATTATTAAAATTAATTATATTGGTTAAAAAATAAAAGTTTTCTAATAGTATAGAAATCATAACTATGTATTTATCTATCTGAACAAACTGAGAGAATTAAGTTTTCAGATTATTAAAAATTGAAAATATATCTGTTTTGCATGGTGCAGTTCACATACCACTGGTGATAAATTACTTTAGTCAATGCAAATATAAGGCTTTTTATTGTTATGCATTGTCTGAGCAATAGTGAAAATGAAACTGAGATATCAAATCTATGATTTTGCAGATACTGATGTTTAGGACTACATTACACATTAATTACAGTGCTCATGTTTATAAATTTTTAGTAACTTTGACCCCACCATTAAAACGGATTAGAAATATAAGTTGCAGAGTTTTCTAAAGCCTGGGTTTTACTGTTTCTATCCTTCTGGTGTCATTTAACATGTTCCTCTGTCCAGCGTATTTCCTGTAAGTTGTAGTTAGAATTAAGAACAACACCATACAATAGAAATATGAGCCACAAATATAATTTTAAATTTTATAATACACATTTAAAAAAGAAAAAATAACAATTAAAATTAATTTTAATAATACTATTTTATTTAACCCAATATGTCAAAAATATTATGTATGTAGTCAATATTAAAAATTATTGAGATAGGTTACTTTTTTTTCATATAAAGTTTTCGCTATCTGGTTTGTATTTTACATGTACAGAACATCTCAATTTGGCCTACTCACATTTCAAATGCTCAGTAGCCACGTGGGACTAGTATTGAATACAGTAGACCCAGGGACATCATCAGATTGAGGTTCAATTTTTGGCCAAAATACCCGATAGGTGGTGGTGTGTACCTCCACACAGAAGCATATGTCTGCTGGCCTTTTTGTGATGTTGGCAGTCATTGATTATCATTGTCTACACCCAATAATTCATTAAAGGTTCCAAAATGGTGATACTAGAATTTTAAAATTCCTTCTTCATTTATTAGATGGAATACTTCTATCAAGAGAAACATCTCATCAACTACTTGGGTTACTTGGAATAATATGCATAGGGAAGTTAGAAAAAATGGTTGATCTCTTCCTTTTATTTGCTAGTTTTTAAAATAACGATTTTGGTTTCCTTGCATTTTCCAAGGATGATCAATACTATTTTATTTTAACAGTATCATTAGGAATTCATGAATTTTAATATTTGATGTGTTTCAGTTCATTGCAGAGTTAACTTAATTGCAGAGTTCTGATATCAACAAAGCAGTTTATGATATTCCAGGTCCATCTTGTACACTTCCTTCCATAGACCTGTAATCATCTATTTCTTCAGGGAGCCTTTGATTCCTTTTAGTGGAAAATGGTATGTAGAGAACATTATCTGTGTGTGAAAGGTTGAGCATGTTCTGTCTTTTCAGAGAACAAAGCTAGAGAATATGTATTTTAATAAGATAATATTCATCATGAATTCATGATAATGTTTCCTATTCAAATTCAAGTGGAGGACTTTTTTTACAGTGTCCTTTTCCCTGTCAAATTTCAAATTTTATTGACATGAATACAATTATTCATTTGCTGTATTCATAATACACACGTGTAAGAGTCGAATAAATATAAGACTACCACTAGCAAAATGATTGCAAAAGTCAGCTTAAGATACTTTGCAGTTGTTTTTGTCCTTATGATAAGATTCCGCTAAAACAGTCAAATTACTGTGTTTTACAGTCACTTGGAATAGTCCCTTAGGTGCTGTTCTGCCACCTACTGGATAGACAGGCTCAATAGTCTTATTTTACTTTTGATGTTTAGGAATCACTTTATTTTAAATTTAATTTTGCTTTATAATAACGCAAAGCTTTCCATGACTCTAAAGTCAAATTTACAAAACAAGTCTAGTTTTTCTCCCTGTCTCCTCAATCTTATTTCCTTTCTTTACCTTTAAATATTTTATCTTTAAATGCTGTGATTTATATGTCCATTAGTATATATTTGTACATAATTTGTAGACAAATTATACAAAATTGATATACGTTTGTATTTTTTTATCCCCTATCTCCTTTGTTAGATAACTGGTAGCATACTATACAGACTTTTCTCCACCTGAAACACATATATTATTATTAAAAGTTTATATGTATATAACCTGGAGTGTTGGATTTTGCTTTGTTAGGTAATCTGGAAATTTTTTTATAAATGTAAATGTAATCAGTAAATGTATTTTTAGGATCCAAGTGCTTGGCATCACCTTTGTCACATTTATTACATGTATTTCCATCCATACAAGCATGCAAACATATTCACATCTATATACCCGTGACTACCTCTATCTTTATTGCCTTACATTTCTACCCTTTTCCTATGTGGTCAATATCAAGGCTGCTCCATGAACTGTTTGCTACCAAGCTATGATGACTTGTGAATAGACAGTAAAAACAACAACAACAACAAAACACATTTAGAAACATTTAAAGTAATTTGATATTGCCACTAAATTCAAGTATATGATTTTGTATATTACAAGTGTCGCTTACAAATTATTGCGGAAAACAGTAGTCCTTCGCTACAGAGTCTGAAAAGCACCTGCCTACATTATTTGCTTGTGTGCATGTGTTCTCTCTCTCGCGCCTATCTTTCTGTTCTGTGGGTTTTCCTGAGACAGGGTCTCACTCTGTCATCTAGGCTAAAGTGCAGTGGCACCAATATAGCTCATTGCAACCTCAAACTTCTGGGATCAAGGGATTGTCCCGCCTCAGCCTCCTGAACAGCTGAGACTACAGGCACATGCCACTGTGCCTGGCTACTTTTTAAAATTTTTTGTAGGGAATAGGGTTCTCACTTTGTTGCCCAGGCTGGTCTTGAACTCCTGAGCTCAAGCAATCCTCCCACCTCGGCCTCCCAAAACGCTGGGATTACAGGTGTGAACCACTGCACCCAGACTCTTTTTGTATTTAGAAATGTTTGTGCTATTTTGTTCTGAGCCCTTTATTAACATCTTTATATAATCTAGAATTTTATTAATATCTGTAAATAATACCTTTAGTCCCATTTTTACTTTTTTCCCCCATCCTACTATGAATAAAATTGAAATTAGCTAATAATCCCTTCTTCACCTCCTCCCCTGTTCCCTGGCATCTATTTTCAACAGGTATGTTTTTATTCTCCATTGATATCCTTGAGGCAATCACAGAGCTTATTCTACTTTTTATATTCTCTTTCCAATTTATGCCCCTCCTCATTTTTTACAGTTAATTGCATATAGAGAAAATGGCCATCACATTTTATACTCTCTCCCTTGTAAACTACAGACATTATGAGTTCCACAAAAATGTCTACTTAATGTTCACCGCCAGTTCTATTGTCGATGTCTCTTTAGTCATATTGGTTTTCTGAGGCTTGGTCTCCATAAATTCCCCAGGAAAGGCTCATAGGAACATTACTCCCTGAGTTCTTATATGTTTATTAAGAATTGTGACCACGGTATTTAAAGATCAATGTTGCTGGGTATAAAATCTTTAGCTCACATCTGCTTTCCTTAATATTTCTTAAATATTTTATACGATTGTCTTCTGGCATAAAGCATTGTCAAAAAGTCTGATGACAATCTGATTTTCTTTCTCTTATAAGGGATACTGACCTTTTAATTAGTGCCCAAAAAAACCCCTTTTTTCCTTTTATTTAAAGGTCAATAGTTTTACTAGACTATGTTTATATGTGGCCCATTCTGGGTCAATAATTTTACTAGACTGTGTTTATATGTGGCCCATTCTGGGCCAATTCCACCAGGTATGTCCTTTCAAATGTTGGGCAAGTATATTTTTAGGTCAGAAAAGCAGGTTTTGAATTATAATTGATAATATTTGTTCTTTCATTACATTTTCTTTTTTAGGAACTTCTATTTCATGTTCTTTGGTTCTCCTATTCCTACTGTCTATGCCTTTTTCATATATATTTTTAAATCTTTTTATTTTAAAAATATTCATTCTTTCCTTTTCTATTTTTCTTAAGGAACTTTCTGTGGTGTTCATTCACTATTTTGTTTCTTCTAGTCTAGTCTAAAATTTCGAAATAAGTTTTTCCTTCAACTAATATTTTTCTATTTCTATAAACTCCTTTTCAAGTCTTTGTTTTTTCAAATTAGCTTCTTTTTGAGTTCTTAAAATTCTGGGTTATGCTGTTCTTTAAAAGCTGCTATCTTTTTTTTCAGCTTGATTTAAAATATTAGGCTAAATTTTCTTCTGTTTTGTTTGCATATCTTTCTGGCATGCTTTTATTGTCTGCAGAGACATTACATTCCTCAATCCATTTTTCTTTATGATAGATTCGATGGCCATTTTTTTCTTTTTTAATGTTTAAGTGAGATGAGTTTTCCTGTACTCTTAGAAGAGAAGAGTGAACCAGGATAGCTTCCTAGCCCTAGAGATTTAGAGCTGCCTTTTCTGTTATTTTTGGATGTGTTTACAAATATGTATCTGGTATCTGTTGGCTCTTTGCTCCTCCCTCCACTTGTATCTGCGTCTTCTTTCTTTTGCCTCCTTTGCTCCTATTTGTCTATTTCCTGCTCAATTTGGATTCTATGCCAGTAGTTTCTCCTCAATGTGGGGTTTTGCTGTGGAGGAGATGGCTATTACGGGTCCCTTTAGGGTCCATGGGGCACAGGCTGCTCCAACACAAGCTGATTCTCTTGTGTTCACCCACAAGTTGGAGGCAGCAGGACTTAGGGGTTTCAGCTGCCCTTCCCAGAGTGGCCCACCAAGCCTTACAGTGAGTACTTGTGAACTGTATTTGTTTCTTTGCCTCTTGGGGCCATCAGAAGTCCCTCTGTCCTCTTTTCATTTCCTCTGATGTGCTGAAGACACTATACAGGTCTTAATCTCACCAGTAGTTTATTCCAACCCACACATATTTGGAGGGATTTACAGGGAGGGATATTTATAGCGATATGTTTTCCCGCTGCTTTATTGGAGATGTTGTTTGGGAGGTTTTGCTTTTGTTATCTTAGTTGCTCTGTTTCCATGGGGTGGTTGGAGAGATGGAAAAATTATGCCACCTTGCCACCACTTTCCTAATTACTTTAAGCAACCAAACTTTTAGTCTTCTTCTGTTGTACTTTGTTAGTAAGCATCTACCTGCCTGTCTATGTTAACAGGTTTTCTGATGTGCTATACATTTGACCTTTGAAGAATACAGGTTTGAACTGCACGGGTCCATTTACAAGTGGATTTTCTTCTGCCTCTCCCCCGCTGCCCCCACCCCGAGACAGCAAGACCAGACCCATCTCTTCCTCCTCCTCAGCCTACTCAACGTGAGGATATGGATAAAGACCTTTATCATGACCCACTCCACTTCCACTTAATGAAATATGTTTTCTCTTCCTTATGATTTTCTTAATCATACTTTTTTTCTTCTAGCTAACTTTCTGGTAAGAATACAATGTGTGATACATATTACATATAACATACAACATATGCGTTCAATGACGATGTTATTGGTAAGGTTTCCAGTCAATAGTAGATTATTAGTAGTTAAGTTTCTGGAGAGTCAAAAATTAAATACGATGACTGTGACCCTTTGGGGTTGGTTCCCCTAAACTCCACATTATTTCGGGGTCAAATATTATTTAATCAGCGTGGTCATATTGATGTCCATGCATATTAATACTTGAGACCTCAATAGAGAATATGTCCATAGTTCAGGGATCTATTGATGTCTTTTTACACTGCCAGGTCACTATCTCTCTCCCCTTCCCAGTCTGTGAAGAGTCTCTGCGTGTCTCTTTGTTGCCACTGTCTTGAGTCTTCTGGATGCTGATACAAGGCCAACTGAATGTGCATCGTCCATCTGAAGTGCTCCTATGTGATTACTAGGCCACGGAACAGCCACAAACATCACTCCTTCCTTTCCTCCCCTAACAGGCTTTGAGCCCTGATTCTTCATCAGGGTGGTATAAGAGAAGTCTTAGGGAACCATGACCCCCGTGGGAACATATTAAAATGATGGGGGAATATACTGGGAGGAAACAATAGTTTGATAAAAGCTTCCCAGTTGGTTCTAATGGAACTCCTCAGGGCTGTAGTTGGATCCTCTGCTCTGGGTAGAGACGGGCAGGGTGCCATGGAATTGGCCCTGGGTCCAGATCACCTGGCATCCTCAGGCACAGGACTGGGATTGACTGACTGAGATTTAAGGGATAGGAGAAAAGAGAGAAAAGAAGGCAGGAGCCCAAGGATGTAATTTCTTTTTGGACCCATCTTCTTTTTCAGGTGCTTAATATTATCTCTTTTTTTTTTTTTGAAAGCTAACAGATTTATCTTGAAAGCATTTACAGTTATTCCTGCTTAATGTGTAGCTAAGAAATTCTTTCAACTCTAAACAGAGAACAAAGACTTTCATTTTACAGGTAGAGATAAAAGGTATTGAATGGGAAAGTTTGAAAGAGGTGGCATTTGGGGTGAAAGTGTCTCCATCAAAGAAAAACTGATGACATCAGATCTGTGATTGTTTTAATAGAGGGAGAGAATACAGGAAGGCAGAGGGGCTGGGCAGGGGGATGTAAGAGATAGGGAGCAGCAACTGGATGCTGGAAATGGTCATAAACTGCTAATTTCATAAGTGTGTTTATCTTCATTTGTGCACAGAAAAATAAAGGCACTGGGTGGGTATATTAATGGTCTATATGAATGCCAGGACTGGTACAGCCTCAGGCTCTAAGGAAGGAAGATGGTCAGGTATTTGGTAAGATGATTTGAAGACAAACAAGTGTCAAAGAACTGATGGTCTGACTTGAGTCTTGGTGTATGATGTAAGAGCTTAGCAGATTATAATATTCAGGATAATTTCGGAGGAATCCACAGAAGCTACAGTGTCCAGGGCATATTAGTAACTGAGGGTCACATAATTAAACAAATAATTCTTACAGATGGTTCATTTGTAAGTTAGTAGACATTTCTGCTATAAGCAAAAATGTTGTCATTTTGACTTCAGAGAAATAGACAACTTTATATTTCTGCGGCACTTATGTTTTCTCTATTGTGGATGATGTATCTTCCATTACTAATGAAGGATCATAGGAATTGAGGTAATTGAAACACAGTTCTCCTCTCTATGGTATTAATATTTTTCCCAATGATTGCTTTTCTTTTCCTGTTTCCTGGATATGACAGAGCACATGGTATAAATACCGAACCGCTCAGGGAACAGCCACCCCCAAGGCCCTCTGCCTTCCTCCTGCTCTCCCGGGGAGCCCCTTCTTCCCCTTTCTCTTCCAAATCAACCTGTTCTTCACACCTGGATGTTAAGATTATTCAGCCCCTTGCCCCAGTCAAGGTTACTGTTCTATTTTTAGCCTTGAAATACAGATGAATTACACTACTAGAATATTCACTGATCAATAATGTGAAAAAACAAAAGAGAGAAATTATGAGTCAGAAGAGGTAAAATAGTGAATCACCAGAGTGCGTCTCTATTCTATTAATTTCAGCTGCACAGTCTATAACAACCAGTGTGTGAGAGTTTCAGCCTTCATCCAAATAACGAATGTGAAACCACAAAGGAATTCAAGCTGCAGACAACAAGGCACATTTAAGAGGTTACAATATTCGTTTTGAGCTTGGGGACATAGAATAGAGCATTGATTTCTGATAAATTATTGGGCATTGACATTTTTGGCATGGGCATTTCTTTCTATATTATGGTTCCATAAAAAGTCAGTTTGGGCCCATTGATTGCCTCAGAGGGAAGTGTGTGTGTGTGTGTGTGTGTGTGTGTGTGTGTGTTAGGTAGAATGTGCTGGATTTGGGAGGCGTAGTGGGATGTTGGAAATTTAGCTGTACATGCCCAATAACGTTAGCCTTTTATATTTTAATTTAGGATATCTGGGCTCCATTCTTCCCTGACGCTTCCCAACCATGACTTACCTTTCTTAGTGCCGTTGTCATTCAATCAGGAATTCTCTCGAGCAGACCCGCTAGTGGCATTCAGTGGATCCCAGAATAGATTTAGCCTGTTGGGAGCATAATGCATGTTTTAGTCTCCTGGTCACATACAAATGAAATAGGAGGGGGTGACAAAATACTGGAATTTAGGAGGGCCCTATGACTTGATTTTCTTTTGCATATTAGACAGACTTCTGAGATGTTTGAATCTTTGAATTGTTATGTTTAATTACTTACACCGAAAAAGTCTAAGACTGAATTCACTTTTTTTCTCTAAACATTTTTCCTTCTGAATTTCTTTGTTGTGTTTTAGTGATACTCTATTCCCCAGCTGCCCAGTTTTCCAAATTTTTAAAATATAGTTACCCAGTTCAATTATTTATTCAACAAGTATCTATACTGCTGGCATGTTGTGTGAGTCACATACTGGGCACTCTGGGATGGAGAGATAGGTCAGTGCCCACCCTTGGGAGTTCACAATTTAGCGGGTCCCCTTTTGCATCCTCTCCCTCCCGTCCCCCCCGTCAAGTGCATCTGTGTCTTTAGCGTCTTCCTTCCCATCCCTATTGCAGCTGCTCTGATAGGAGCCTTCTCCATCACACCCGGCCCACAGCAATCAAGTGCTCCATGGTCTCAGGGAGCCTAAAAGCTACAGCTTCAAAATCCAGTTTCTCACTCTCTAACCTCTTCCAGTAGTTCTCAACCTTGGTTCTGCATCAAATGCATTGGTAATTTTTTTAATCTGTCTGTTTTTGACACAGATGCCCAGGAACCCTTTTGTAGAGGGCTTGGTTCATATGTAATCTCTAAATGGTGCTTTCCTTGGGCTTCCAGATAAGAGACAATTACTCATTCCTCTGTGAGTCTAGTTGTTTGTCCTTCACTTTTACTGATTACATTGGTATCCCTGTGCCACTCTGTCCATTCCACTAGACCATGACAGCACTGAGGCCAAGAAATGCTACCCTCCTCAGCTTTCTGTAAGTATTAGTTCCTTTTACCCCATCTTTAATGCCTAATGATGGACATAAGTTCTTGCCACATCTTCATTTTATCAAGTATTCTTCTCTTGTCATTTTGATTACAGGGAAAAGAGCAACCATGGGAGACTAGCAAAGCTCCTGCATTCTGTTTGTCTTTTAGGGCCAGGGCAGGGCTAAATTGTGTTTGAAAGAACAGAAAATGAGTTGTTCCAGTTTTCTCTTAGAAAAACTCCAAGAAGCACTTGAAATTCCAGCATTCTCTTCTCTCCATGGGAAGCACCATTTCATTTCTCATTTCTTCATTAATACTCTCTTTTCCTTGTCCCCAAGAAAACTACCACTCTATCCTCACCAACCAGTATAAAGTTACTTGTTTCTTGATAAGAACGGAAGTCACTCTAAGAGTGCTACTCCAGCTGTGGAACTTCACCTGGTTGAATTTTTGCAATCACAGTTGGAGAAGTGTTAATCATAGTTATCACAAGCAGTCTAACTTATCAACCCTTTTGAGTTACATGTCCCTGGAAAAATTAGTGACTCTGTTCCCTACCCAACCTCTGGCTTTTTTTTTTTTTTTTTTTGAGACAGGGTCTTGCTCTGTTGCCCAGGCTGGAGTGCAGTGGCACAATCACAGCTTACTGCATCCTTGACCCCCAGTGTTCAAGTGATCGTCCTACCTCACCCTCTCAAATAGCTGAGACTACAGGGAACTAGCACCATACCTGGCTAATTTTTAAACTTTTTCTGTAGATACAAGTTCTCACTCTGCTCTCCAGGCTGATGTTGCACTCCTGGCCTCAAGTTATCCTCCTACCCCGGCCTACTAAAGTGCTGGGATTACAGGTGTGAGCCACTGCACCCAGATACTTCACGGAATAATACAGTGTTCTATGAAGTGCAATGTTTAACTGAATAAGAAACACAGTAATTGTATAGAAATAGGGCTGTAGTGAGGAGTGAATGGGATAACACAGGTTGAAACTATCAATGTAGCACCTGGCCCATGCTAAGCACTCAATACAAGAATAACCCTGGTAACACATATTATCTTCATCATAGTCAGATATTTCGAAAAGACTCCCTGGGAATAATCATGGACTTTGGAGCCTAGGACAGAGGCAGGGCTTCGTGCTCCCGGGGCAGCTCCAGGAGATGCTGACTGGAAGGGTTGAAAGGTCAAGGACTGAAGAGGGGCTGAAAAGTGAGTAACCCTTAAGGGAGCATTTGGGTTCCAACCCCCACGTTTCCCCTTGTGCTGTTTTGTTACTTCCTTAAAATCATTTCATTGCAGGCCGGGTGCGGTGGCTCATGCCTGTAATCCTAGCACTCTGGGAGGCGAAGGCTAGCAGATCACCTGAGGTCAGGAGTTCAAGACTAGCCTGACCAACATGGCACAATCCCGTCTCTGCTAAAAAATACAAAAGTTAGCTGGGCATGGTGGCGGGCGCCTGTAATCCCAGCTACTGGGGGGCGGGAAGGGGGGTGGGCTGAGGCAGGAGAATCACTTGAACACAAGAGGCGGAGTTTGCAGTGAGCCGAGATTGTGTCACTGCACTCCAGCCTGGGCGACAGAACAAGGCTCCGTCCCAAAAAAACAAATAATAAAAATAAAAATAAATAAATAAATAAACCATTTCACTGCTGTGAGGCCTCAGAATAAAACCCTAAAGTTTTCTCAAAAGGGAAATATGTGTGTGTGTGTGTGTGTGTGTGTGTGTGTGTGTGTGTATTGGCTTGCTATCTGGTCATTTAGTGGTGATTTATCTCAAGGATTTATAAATACTTATTGCACAAACACTGTGGAAGCTAGTCAGCATTCACTCAGGAACTCAACCTGTCTGTATTTTTAGGTAATCTTGAGTTTTCTTTCTATTATTTTGCATGTAAGAGTGGTTCCCCTTTTTGCAGCTTCGTTTTCTGTCAATGGCAAGCTAAAAACCCACATTTAGAAAATATGACTATTCATTTGCTTAATTATCACATAAACTATTTTTTAAAACTGGAATCAGTCACTAACAAATCCTGCTTGGCTGTTTCCTCTGTCTGGACTCCTCCCCACTGGGATTTTTCCACTGAACTTTATGACATACAGTAGCCCCTCCCTCCCCATCCATAGGAGATAACATGCCAAGATCCTCAGTGGATGCCTGATGCCCCAAATAGAACCAAACCCTATAAATAAATAAACAAATAAATAAATACACACACACACACACACACCCCCAAGTAACAACAAAGTTATTACATCCAGTTCTTCTATAAAATAAATATCAACTTGCCATCTCTTTGTAAAACTGCATATCTAGTTATATTTTTTCAGGTATAAACAAAAAATACCTATTTTTGCAAGGTATTTGTATGCCATAGAGTTATTATCTTTGAATCCAAGCAGGAAGGCTTAGCAAAGGCTCTGTACAGAAACCTGTCGTGTCTTGTATCAGGCTACAATTTTTTTTTAAGTCAGATTTCTCAAAAACTGGCACAGCAGTTGGATATAAATGGCTTCTGAAGATATATCACATCTGTCCAAAAATGAAAATCATTTTTCATGCCCAGCAATTGTGAACTTTCCAAATTGCTCTGTGAAAGTTTTTTATTCTCATGCAACGAAAGGCAAAAAAAACCAAAACCAGTGACGGGGGAAAAAATAACAATTCCTATACAACCACTATATGCTTTTGATTCAGATAGTTCAATGCTCAATATGTCATTTTTTATATTCTTTTTTACTTTTCTGACTTTTGAATCAATATGCAAAATGCGAACTGGATTATTCAAAGGTAGAAGAAGAAATGCTGCTTCTGATGAAACCTTGCTACAGGACGTGGGAAGGGAGTGACAGCTACCGAGTCCTGGGTTCACGCGATTCTCCTGCCTCAGCCTCCTGAGCAGCTGGGACTACAGGCGCCCACCATCACGCCCGGCTAAGTTTTAAAAATATTTTTAGTAGAGACGGGGTTTCACCATGTTAGCCAGGATGGTCTCGAACTCCTGACCTTGTGATCTGCCCGCCTTGGCCTCCCAAAGGGCTGGGATTACCGGCCTAAGCCGCTGCGCCCGGCCGCCACTGAATCTCTTTAGACTCCACTTGCGCTCCAGGCTCCTCTTGACTTCATTCCTCTCCTCACTCTAGTGGAAGTAGAAACTTTTTGTATAATAACAAATGGAAGTTATGCCATGAGTGGGATTCATGTTCCCATGGTAGAGATGGGTTTGTTTAGTAGTTGTTTCAAGTTGAAGAATGACAGTGTCCACCACCCTCCCAGGAATAGGAACCTTCAGGCGAATGAGTCTCCTCACCGGACCAAGGGAACAGTAGTAGCAGGACGGAGTTGGATCATGAACGGACAGGGAGGTAGAGGAGAAGAGAAGAGCTCCAAAGGTTAGAAGGATTCTTAGACTCCCATATCTGGCTGACTTTCTAATGACTGAAGATGTAAAAAGGGCAAGTCATGATCTGCACTACTTACAAGATGAGGCAAGTTCTGTTCTAGAACTCGAGCATGTCTGTGATCCACAAGGAGCATAATTGTCTTGTTTTCTTGTAACAGACTCGACCACAGGACGTGATGCAGGGTTACACACCATTTCTCTAAATATTCCATTGAGATGGAAGTTTCTAATCAGATGATTCTTAATCTGATTTTACTTTGATTGCCACACAGTTTAGTGTAGTGTTTGCTTAGAAGCCGACATAGTAAAATAAAAGTAAAATCAGATTAAGAATCATCAGGGTTGCTGGGTGCAGTGGCTCACACCTGTAATCCCAGCACTTTGGGAGGCCAAGGAGGGAGGATCTCTTGGGCCTATGAGTTCAAGGCCAGTCTGAACAACATGGGAAGACTCTGTCTCTACGAAAAAATGTTTAAAAATTAGTCGGGTGTGGTGGCACAGGCCTGTGGTCCCAGCTACTTGGGAGGCTGAGGTTGGGGTAATGCTTGAGCCTGAGAGGTCAAGGATGCAGTGAGCCATGATCGTGTCACTGCGCTTCAGCCTGAGTGACAGTGACACTCTGTGTAAAAATAAATGAATAAAATTTAAAAAGATAAAGAATCATGAGGCAGTTATAAGATAAAGAATCACTTATGGCAGTTATCAGAAGGCAAGCCATTCCACATAGTGTTAGGTTTCGCTGTTTACAATAGAAAACCCAAACTAATAGTGGCCTAAACACAGAGATGCAACCCTCAAGAAAAGCTGTCCAGAGCTGGGCAGTTAGGTGCTGGTATTTTGGTTCTTTGGTATCCAGGGGCCTAGGTGCCTACTATCTTTAGGCTCTCCCTTTCCAGAGCCAGCCTCCAAATTTAAGGTCCCCTAATATTCCGAGACAGTTGCTGTAGTGCCAGCCTTCAAGCACAAGGCCAAAAGACGAAGGAATGAAGCAGTTGAGGCAACAAAAAGCACAGGAATCATACAACTGTGTGGAATGTATATATTTTTTGCTTCCAACTTTATTTATCAAATTTTCCATGCTATTGGTCCTTTCAGGAGTTGCTCCTTAGCTCCTCTATTCTCATGTGAAAGGAGGTGGGGATGTTACTACTTCAAGATCCACATCTTTTTCCTGTCCCTTTATTCTCATTAATGAATTAGCTGATTCATCAAATGTCTACTGAGCACCTATTAATCATAGGCCCTTGGCTAGTCATTGGAAACACAAGGATGAAAAAAAAAAAAAAAAAAAACAGTGGCTCACACCTGTAATCCCAGCACTTTGGGAGGCCGAGGCAAGTGGATCACCTGAGGTCAGAAGTTTGAGACTAGCCTGACCAACATGGTGAAACCCCGTCTCTACTAAAAATGTAAAAATTAGCTGGTTGTGGTGACGTGCGCCTGTAATCCTAGCTACTCGGGAGGCTGAGGCAGGAGAATCGCTTGAACCCGGGAGGTGGAGGTTGCAGCAAGCAGAGATTGCACCACTGCACTCCAGCCTGGGAGACAGAGCAAGACTTTGTCTTAAAAAAAAAAAAAAAAAAAAAAAATCCCTGCCTGCCATCAGACACTGTCAGTCTAGTTGTAAAGAGGTCATGAGCATGGTGACCCCACTTTTATAAGTGCCACCAGAAGGGAGAGGGCATGGGATAGAAAAGGCTCAAAGCGGCTACAGCTGGGCTTTTCTGAAGTGAGAGAAGCCTTCCCAGAAGACTTGATGTAGGTAAAAGGCTGTTTAGAAACTTTCTAGATTATCAAGGGGATGTGCATATTTCAGACGGAGCCATAGTACCTACAAGGGCAGCAATAAATGAAATAGCCATAGTTTGGGATGGATACAGTGTAAAATTTGGCAGTGGATAGGGGGCTGATAACAGTCCTCTGGGCCAGGCATGGTGGCTCATGTCTGTAATCCCAGCACTTTGGGAGGCTGAGTCAGGAGGACTGCTTGAGCTCAGGAGTTCAAGACCAGCCTGGGCAACATAGTGAAACCTTGTCTCTACCAAAAAATACAAATAAAAAAAATTAGCTGGACGTGGTGGTGCAAGCCTGTGGTCCCAGCTACTTGGGAGGCTGAGGTGAGAAGTTCCTTTGAGCCTAGGAGGTCCAGCCTGCAGTGAGCCATGATCACACCACTGAACTCCAGCCTGGGTGAGTTCAGTGGTGTGAACATGACCCTGTCTCAAACAACAACAAAACAAAACCAAACAAATTAAAAAAAATTTTTCTAATTACTCAGAGAAAATAGCAGGCATGAGCATAAGCACCCAAAGTCATGATGTATCTCCAAATGTGGTGACATCTGTATCCACCTTTATTTCTTATTGTGGCATCTCAGCTCCCCACACCCAACAGAACAGTTGACTCTACAATGTCCTTGGGCATCTATCTCTCCCTTTCATCCCTCTAACACTACTTCATTTCAAGCCCGATTGCTTTCCACCTGGTGATTACCAAAGCCTCCTAACTGCTTCCAGCCTCAGCGCCATTCCCACCTCTCCTGGCCTCTTCAGTATCCTCCCCCAACCAAGGGAGTGAATGTTCTGAAATGCACATCTGCTTGTTACACCCCTGTCTATACAGAGCACACACTTTAGTGGATCTCCACGGTCCCAAGGTAAAGTTCAGGCTCCTCAGAGCAGCACTGATGGTTCTGACTGACACCTCTGCCCACGGGCCAGCCCCCACTCTGACACTTCCACACAAAGAATCCCCCAGCCACTGCAAAAACATCTGCCGCTGTATAACTGCACCACAGCCTCACAACACAGAACGGCACCGGGGAGAGCTTCAGGGGCCAGGCCTGGGCATGAGACATACTCCTTTTCAGGTTCCACTGGCTATCCCAAGCTGCAAAGGGGGCCTGGGAAATGCAGTCTGGCTGTGGCACAAGAGGAAGAGAAAGAGAAAGCTGGTCTTGCTGAGCAGCAGGCTGTCTGCTGTGGGTCCTCTAAACTGGTCTACGTATTTGACATTTGTCTTTTTATTCTAAAAATTTTCTTTGACTATCTTGTTAACAGATTGCTCCTGTTCTTCTTCTTCTTTTTTTTTCTTTTTTTTGAGACAGGGTCTCACTCTGTTACTCAGGCTGGAGTGCAGTGGCATGATCACAGTTCACCGCAGCCTCGACTCAAGGGATCCTCCTGCCTCAGCCACCTGAGTAGCTGGGACAACAGGCATGTGCCATCAAGGCCAGCTAATTAAAAATAATTTATTTTATAGACCGGGGGTCTCATTATGTTGCTCAGGCTGGTCTTGAACTCCTGAGCTCAAGCAATCCTCCTGCCTCGTCCTTCCAAAGTACAGGGATTACAGGTATGAGCCGTCGGGCCTGGCCTTATTTATATTCTCATATTGTGATTGCAATATCCTCTCAATGTTCTGTGAAAACTAATTCAGTAATACCAAGTTGTAGTTTCTAGAAGTTTTCTTATTTAAAAAAATTCTTTCTGTTTCCATTGGGGTCATTTATTCTGAATGTTCATTTTTAGCTCTAGTGTGTCCTGCGCTGTTGGGGTACCTCAAATCATGATTGCTAATGCTTGCTTCTTGTTTACCAGGTACTATTATAAGCATTTACATATGCAATCATTTGATATTTAAATAACCTCTCTAAGGTAAGGACTATTACTAACCTCAATATAGAGATAAGGAAACTGAGGCACAGGGTTTTCCTTACAGAGGTAAGGAAACTGATCTGCGCCCAGGTCCACACAGTTAGTAAGTGAAGGAGTTGGATCCAAATCCAGACAGTCCGACCCCACAGTCTTCCTTTCAAATGGGTAGTGCACTTTGGATATCTGTTTGTGGTTAAAAGTTTCAAGCACTAAATTAGTCAACGTAGGCAGTTGTCAGAGGCTTTCTCTGCTTTTGTGTAAAGAGGACAAATCACAATAATAATTTCGATGTGCTCTATTCTCCTCAACTCTCTGACATTTCTTTTTCCTTTTCAGTGCAGGTTTCTCATACTTCATGGAGAAATAGAAAGGACCAGATGACAGCCACCACACATTTTTGTCCCCATTGCTATAAGATGCTTCTAACCATCGTAAAATTATGAAACACTGAATTCCTTAAAAGTTGTCCACTTGTGGATTTATCTGATGGTAACTATTAAATATTTAAAAGTAACTTTAATGAATCTACTTGTGATGATTGTGTGAGTAATCTATTCTCTGAATTCCACCAAAAAACCATTTTATGACCAAAGTCATAACGAACATATTTCTATAGTCCTAAGCTGGCAAGATAAATAGAGATCTGCTTATAATATAAACAACATATTTATTCCTAAACTAATAAGATGATTATCAATCTGTAAAAAACCACAAAAATCACTACCATATATTTGGCTATACTTGGTGAGAATTTTGGAAACATGTCTGTTCTTTTTTATTTGTGTTCTGGAAGATACTTAGCCCACTTTTTTTTTTTTTTTTTTTGAGACAGAGTCTTGCTCTTGTTGCCCAGGCTGGAGTGCAGTGGCATGATCTCGGCTCACTGCATCCTCTACCTCCTGGGTTCAAGCAATACTCCTGCCTCAGCCTCCTAAGTAGCTGGGACTATAGGAGCGCGCCACCACGCCCAGCTAATTTTTGTATTTTTAGTAGAGGCGGGGTTTCACCATGTTGGCCAGATGGTCTCGATCTTTTGACCTCATGATCCGCCCGCCTCAGCCTGCTTAGCCCACTTTTAAGGACAAGTCCAGCTGTCCTTATCCTTCACAGCAAATAACAAACATAGTGATTAGTGGGGGAGAAGAGATGTTGCTCAAGGGGTACAAAAGTATAGTCAGATAAAAGGCATATGTTCTAGTATTTGATAGAATAGTAGGCAAATTATAGTTAACAAAAATTTATTGTACACTTCAAAGTAGCTAGAAGCAAAGAATTGTAATGTCCCCAACACAAAGAAAAGATAAATGTTTGGGGTGACAGTATCTCAATTACTCTGATTTGATCATTACACATTGTATGCAGGTATCAAAATATCACATATCCCCCCAAAATATGTACAATTGTTGTATATTAATAAAAATAAATACAAACAAGAAGACCAAAAAAGTAATTAATTATAGTGTAATTATTAGCCTAGGGCCAATCTGGATAAGCACCTGTTCAGCACCATATCCTCATTTTCTGGCACCCCGTAGACACTGCAGAAGTATTTTTGATTGGTCCTGCAGAGGTTCTACCCCGCCCTCACCAGGTGCAGGTGGATGCCAGGTGCCAGCCCGGGACAGGCTCTAAGTTCTAAAGAGTGTGTCGGTGGATGGTGCGCTTTGATCTTTTAGTTCATACGGCTCTGCCTTTGATTAACAGCACAGAACACTGGGCCCAGACTCTTGCCAGAAGATGCCTTTGAACTGTTTGCTGCTCACCTTTTAGTGAAAGCTCTTGACACAAATATTAAAGAAAAGTGTTTAAAGGACGTGCGGTCAATGCATTCCTGACGGTGAGTCTTTCGTGGATTGAAAGCTCTGAAGTCCCACACTGGAAAAACACTTTGAGACCTACACAGATAATGGTGTGTACAACTTCAGAGGCCTGTGCTGTCTCTTGAAGTGCATATTGATGCCCTAGACAGTTCTGTCATGATAAAAAAACAGGCTTCAGTTTTTTCCATCTCTAATTAATTGGTAGTGAAGACCAAGAGCACTGTTTTGAAATGGATCTGAGCCCAGTTTGGTCTAAGCAGAAAAGAGTTCTATGATGGATCCACACACCCTAAGTTGGGTTGAGAAAGCTGCTGGGCCATGGGCTATGATTTTGATATCCTTACTCTGGAAATTAAGGTAGACTACTAGCAAGTTGTGTATGTTGACCACACACTTTCTAATTTATCCAGAACATTGCTTCCATTGAGTTGGACTTGGTCATTATATCCTCAGTTTGCATTCAGGGAAAATTTTAAAAAGTTTCCCATGACACCTGCCTTCACTTTTTTGTCAGAATGTCATCGAAAAACACTGGCCATGTCAGATAAAATGTCCTTGTCAGACCTAAGTGTCAGGAAAATCTTTGCTTCACTGAAGAATTTTATTCTTTCAGGACAAAATATGAATGACATAATATACAGTATTCCTCTTTGCTTCTGCTTTTAGGAATATCAGCTTAATGTCAATAATTGCATAGCATACTATAACAAAAATCATACAATGATACTAATTTTTATTTATCTCTCTATCCATGAATCTATCCCACTGTTGAGCTAACAATTCTTATAAGCCACTCCAAATTCTTTGTGGAACAAATCAAGATATATAAAGGTAAACAAATAATATTGTATAGATGTTAATATTTTAATTCTCCCATGAAAAATAAAAGTTCGCCTTCCTTTGGCTTCAGAAAATTCATTAATTTTCCAGCTTTAAGACTGAAGAGTAATGAACACATGCTATCAGCAGATTTAAGTATCTGACTAACGACAGTTCAAGCCTTCCCTTTCATATTCCTCTCCAGTATGACTGAATAACTTCTTTTCCCTAGAGACAGATATTTAGCCTTAAATTTTATTAGAAGGAGAAAGAACAAAACATTTTAAAATATCAAAGCAATATAAATCTACAGTGGTATTCAGAGTTGTTCATTTTTAATAGAAATAAATTACTAGTTCAAATAACTTCTCCAAAACAAGTTTCCCAGCCCACCAAAGCAGCCGCTGGTGAGCAGCCTCACCTGTTATCATTAGTCTTTTCTTGTCACACTTCCCTATTTAAGTGTGGAATTGTTCCCAGTTCAAAGATACATGGGAGAGAAGTGGCTGGATGGGTAGGATGCACAGAAAACCTCATGTATATTCTCTGGGAGAAGCTTCTGTAGAAGAATCTAAGAGGCCACAGCAGATGACCTCTGGGGAGGTTTGTGGCTATCATCATGAAGAAAGGCTTAACTGTTACACAAATCTTTGCAATACTTCTGAATTTCTTAGGCCCAGAAGGCTCTATTGCTCAAGTTCATTTTAAAGCACACTGGTTTCAAAACCTGCATAAGTGTTCACTGAATTAAAAAAATTCTTTCTCAAGCTCTAGGTATGCTGACAAGTTCGGTAGACCGGAAGTGTGATACTTCTACCCGAGCGCCTCCCACAGAGTCAGCACCTCAAGGGAGAAGGCAGGGGCCCTGAGCTCCCTCCCCGGTCAGTGCCTTACTTCCTGTGTGATCTCTGCAAAGTTATTTAGTCAACCTCTCAGTCTCAGTTTTCTCATACATAAAGTAGGGATAAAAGTCATATCCAACTTGCAGATTGTGCAGATTAAATGCATGTCATGTAAAGCACATGGAGTGTACTAAATGCTCAATAAATACCAGTTCCCTCCCTTCACCTTTCAGCCCCTCGTCTCCCCAGCAATATTTTCAGATGAAGAAGAGGTGAGAATTTTCAGTCTTATTTACACCAAAGATCACGTTTCGTTAGTCAAAATAAAAGTGACCGTATAATCTAAGGACATAAGTGAGTTATGTGGTCTGAGAACAGGACAGAATAATTAAAAGCAGGCTTGTGCTGAAAACCTGGAAATATGCTGCACATCATGTCTGCATCCTTCCCTCACGCCTCCTTCTCTCTCCCACAGGGTAGTAGAGCAAAGAAAGTAGAACTCAGGGCAGGGCTTGTGTCTGTTTTGTTCACTGGTGTACCCCAAGTGTGGAGAATCCTATAGATTTAATGCTCAATAGATATTTGATAAACTGAATTAAATACTCAGAAAGAAAGCAGAAATGTTTTGGGACTTCATATCCTGTTTTCCCTGCAGTTCAGCATACATAAAATAATTATTTCTAACAAAAAAGTTAAAGAAAGTCTTTAATTTTCTACCACAGGAAAAGGTATTAGATTTGTATTCATTTTCCTCAAGCACATACCCAAAAAAAATCCCCCCAAACAAATAAACATCAGTAAATGATTTCTGGAAACCCAATGTAGCAATAGGTTACAAATAAAGCAAAGACTGCCCCTGCTCAAACTGCTGGTTATCTTGCAAGGGCCTTCCAGGGTGGAGCTCTCTCACCCTCTCTTGGCCCAGCCTTAAACTTCACTCTAAGTAAGCAGAATACAGCTGAGACAAGAGGAAGTAGTTCATTTGCATAATACAAACAAAGACACCCAGGTGAATGGTTTGCCACTTATCAATGTTTGCTTTGCTCATTAGTGAAACAATCTACCAGTAAGTCTACCTAAAGTCTAATAGGCTATACTTTTTTTTTTCCCCAGAAAGTTGGTCAATGGAGAAGGCATCAGTTGGCATCATTCTGTTGGACCAGTTAATGAGGGTTTGCTTTTCAAAAGATACTAGCAGAGAGCATTAATCTTATCACTCTCTTTAAGTATAATCTGGACGCAGAGAATCACTCACATGCTTTAAGTTAGGTTGCAAAGTTTTGGGGGAAAATGTGAGATTTTGTTTTGTTTTTGGATGTCTGGCATCGGATAAGCAATGGATATTTTGGGAGCCCAAATATCCATTGTTTCTCTGGATACTAAAAATGATTATATTAATAGAAATAGCAGGGACTGTGAAGATCGGCTGTGACAAGTGATGCCGTGGTTTACTCTGACTTAGATTTGCTTCCATGGAGGTTTGACTGTGAGATGGAGATCTGTGGGGAGTTCCACTGGGGTGTGTTCTGGGCAAAACCCCTATGACAGCAGTGAAGGAAGAAGGATCAGGTGGGAGGGGCATCTTGGAGTCCTGAGCCGGGATGCCCTTCAGAACTGGCCCAAACTGAAGCAGTGGGGATGAGTCTCAGTGGCCAGACATTGGATGTGGGCTGCCCAGGGAGGACGCATGACCTCGTGTGAGGCAGCTCCCTTTGGCCAAAGGCAATTTTCCAGAAGGGATGCAGTGAGGGCTGTCAGCTTCCACCAATTCCAGCAGCTGGCGGAAACAGTACCTTGGCTCTGAAGGAGTATCTGGGTCGCCCACTACAGCATCCACTAAAACTGGCAAGTTTAAATAAAATATTTAGGAATGAGTACTTCCTATGTAACCTGCATATAAAGGACATTTAACAAATATTTGTCAAATGAATAAATGAGTGGTTATTAGGATAGAAGAATGATAAGTAGTGGATTTAAACCCCAACAGAAGGGATTTAAATAAGGCTAAAGACAAATACAGAACTATAATAATGAACCACTCAGAGCAGAAGAACTTCCAGTCTAGATAGCTGTATTATGACTTCATCATTGGATTTAGTTACTCGAATTCTGAATTTAAGCCTTACAGCAAAAGTAGAGGGAAAAGATGGAAAAGGGACTCCGATTTTGGGGATCAAGGTTCAACAAGTGAGGGTCCCCCACTCACTTGGAAAGGGCTATCATTCTACTACATTAGAATTTGCCAGAAAAACTCAAGGCTTTAAAAAGGAAATAATTAGTCTGTGTGAAGCAGCTGAAAGAAGTGAAAAACATCATTGATTGAATTTTTCCAAAATTAATGACTCTTCCTGCTTGGAGCCCTTTCAACTAAGGTAATCAACATCTAAAGTTCTTGTGAAGGTCATTTCTGAGCACAGTCTATTCTGCTCCATCGAATGATCCAGTTCCTCTCCGTCTGAGTGTCTGGGCATGCTCATCATGCAGTCAGCTATCTAATCACAAAGACATTTTCCTGACACTACACATTAGAAGATGCCCCTTACTTTATAAAGTTATATAAATTAGAATCTATTTTATCCAGGGGCTTATATGGTTAATTTCAAAGATGCTTTGTCTCCTTTTCTCAGTGGTCTTCATACCAAAATAGATTCTAACACTTAGCCTATAAACACTTCCGTTGCTTAAGATTTATCTGATTAAAAGCTTATAAATATATATTTTCATATATTTACAAGATATAATTTTTTATGCAAAAGAGTCTTTTCTTAAAATGAAAAGTCCTTTTAGTTTTCATTACGCAAATGTATATCTTCCAGACTTGGCTTTACAACTCTTCAATATCTTTGGGGAAGAATATTCTGTTCATATAAAGCAAATATAACTTACTGGCACCTCACGAATTTGTTTTTGTAGCTTAGGATAGTCAGGTTGTTTGGGGGAATTTTTTGTTCTAATGATTAAAATATTTTGTTCTAATTATTAGAATATATCATTTAACTAGATTGCAGGATCAATCTTTAACCAGGGTCCCTGGCTATGCCTGTCCAGGGAATCTAGGAAAGGAGACACATAGGTGCGCGCACACACATGCGCGCGCACACATACGCGTGCGCGCACACACACACACACCCCCCCTTCCCTCCCAAAACCTGAAATTTCACCAAGAACAAAGTATATGACTTATAAAGGGCATATAATTTTATATATTTCAGAGAGACATAATACATCAATCAATACATGTAAGATTTACATTGGTTTGATCTGGAAGGGTGGGACAACTCACCCTTTATGTAGATTTAAACATATTCTGATTGGCAGCTGGTTGAAAGAGTTATTATCTATAGAAAGGAATGTCTGGGTTATGATAGGGGATGTGAAGACCTAGGTTTTATCATGCAGATGAAGCCTCCAAGTAGCATGCTTCAAAAGACTGTAAATGTTTCTCCCCAGACTTAAAGTCTGTGTTGATGTTAATGCTGGAGGGGTATCGTGAGACTGTCCAGCCCCCCCAGTTCCTGTCATGGCCTGAGCCAGTCTTTCAGGTTAAATTTTAGAGCACCTGGCTGAGGAGGGAGCCCATTCAAATGGTTGTGGGAGGCCTTTGAATTTTATTTTTGGTTTATCGTCCCAAGGTTTAGCTATATGAATAATAATTCTATGCTTTTAAAATGTTAATTCATTCATTCTACAGACTTTCTGAGTACCATTATGTGCCAGGTCCTGGGCTGAGGAGGAGGACCTCATATAAATCAGGACTTGATATAGTTTGGATATATGTCCCCATCAAATCTCATGTTGAAATATAATCCTTGGTGTTGGAGGTGGAGCCTGTGAAACCGCCTTTGCAAAAATTATAACTGAGGAAATTATGACAGGGAAAGAGACCTGACCTAACCAGCTCCATCTTGCTTCTAACCTCTCAGCTGTCCTTGTTTATTCCTGGGTGTAGGCCAAACTAACCTTGGGAAGGAATTTAGTTCATAGTTTAACTTTGAAATAAAGATGATAATAAACCCTCTACTTACCTGGGGACCAGTCTGCCCTTGTAGGACTCACAAATTAGTTACAAGATTAGAAATTACAGTTAGGAGCCATACAGCCTCTGGTTGAGAGTCTGAACCTCCCCAGATTGCTCCTGGGAATAGCATTACTGTTGTAAAGCCTAAGATCAGTGCTGGAGATACTTTGCAGACCCTGTGTTCTGTTCGGATGGACCAGCTGATGCCACCCAGACTGGTAATCTGGCTCAGCCAGCTCTGCAGTCCCACCCGTGAACAGTAGACAGCAAGAAAAACTCACTTCGATGCCTTATGATTTCATCTCCAACCCAAGCAATCAGCACTCCCCACTTCCTGAGCCCCTACTTGCCAAATTATCCTTAAAAACTCCGATCCCCAAGTTTTGGGGGAGACTGATTTAAGTAATAATAAAACTCCAGTCTCCTGTACAGACGGCTCTGTGTGAATTACTCTTTTTGTATTGCAATTCCCTTGCCTTGATCAGCTCTGTCTAGGCAGTGGGCAAGGAGAATCCACTGAGCAGTTATACCTGGTGGGAGGTACTTGGGTCATCAGGGCAAATCCTTCATAGCTTGGGGCTGTCCTCCACACAGTGAGTGAGGTCTTGTGAGATCTGGTTGCTTAAAATGTGTGGTATCTCCCATTGTCTCTCTTTCTCTCTTGCTCCTGCTTTTGCCATGTGACATGCCTGCTCTTGCTTCACCTTCTGCCATGAGTAAAAGCTCCCTGAGGTCTCCCCAGAAGCCAAGCAGATGCTGGTGCTGTGCTTGTACAGCCTCCAGAACCTCAAGAGAATTAAACTCCTCTTTTTTGTAAAGTTGCCCAGTCTCAGGTATTTTTCTTTTCTTTTCTTCTTTTCTTTTCCCTTCCTTTCCCTTCCCTTTTCTTTTCTCTCTTTTTTTTTTTTGAGATCAAGTCTTGTTCTGTCGCCTAGGCTGGAGTACAATGGCACGATCTTGGGTCACCACAACCTCTGCCTCCTGGGTTCAAGCAATTCTCCTGCCTCAGCCTCCCGAGTAGCTGGGATTACAGGTATGGGCCACCATGCCAGGCTAGTTTTTGTATTTTTAGTAGAGATAGGGTTTTCCCATGTTGGCCAGGCTGGTCTCGAACTCCTGACCTAAGGTGATCTGCCTGTCTTAGCCTCCTAAACTGCTGGGATTACAGGTGTAAGCCATCGTGCCCGGCCTCTCAGGTATTTTTTTATAGCAACACAAGAACAGACTAACATAGAACTCGAATGAATGAATTCTGTCCTCAACTGCAGTAACTGTAAGGAGGTATTATTACATTTTCTCTCCCCAAGTGAGAAAGACTAATCCTATAACACTACCGTAAGTTCTCATTGTATGACACTCAAGTTGAGCTTTCATGAAGGCTCTCAAATAGAGTTGGTGTTTTTATGGTATTGTTCACATGTTCTTAATTTTGTTTATTCCTCAACTTTTAAATGTTCAGAAAAGTTTTTTAAATATGGACTTTTGATAAGAAAATTTAAGATGATCATGAACTGCATGACATTTTATCATCATCAAGCTACAGAATGCTTCTATTTTGTTTCATTTACTTTGGTTTTACTTTTTTCTCTATTATCTTCTGTCTCTAATCTCACAGCCCCCTCCAACCATAGTCAGCTTTTATAATACATATGAAATATATACTATTTATAATATATATGTTCATCCATTCTACCTTTTACACACACATACACACACACAGAAGATGTGAAAAATTTTGGCATTCACTGTGCTTAATTTACATAGATGACACTGTGGTATAAGTATCTTTCTAACTTTTCTTATTCAACACTGTTTTTAAAGATCTACTCATGATGCTACATATAAGCATAAGTGATTGCTTTTTACATTCCATTACACGCCATGCTATTCATACATTGGTAAGTCTACTAACAGTAACAGCTCTACCATGAACATGAACACACCTTATCCTTGAGCACCTGAGTGATTCGTGGAGGGTATATTCAGCAGTAGAATTGTTGGATTGTTGGGTATATCCATACTAAATGTCAGCAAACTCAGTGAGATTATTTTCCCAAATAGCTCTATTAGATTATATTCTCACCAGCAAGGTATCAGGGATTCCACTTCTATGTATCTTCACCAGCATTTGATGTTATGCAACTTTTTAGTTTTTGTCGATCTGATGATTATAGACTGACACTTTATCAATGATTTAATTAGTATTGTCCTAATTTTGAAAGAGTTTGGGCATCTTTTAATATTTACTACCCATTTAGGTTTCTCTTTCTGTGAATTGCCTATTCAGAGATATTGCTTATTTCTTTAGGTTTTCTTTCTTTTTCTCTTTTCTTTTTAAAAATGTGCCATATGGACAGTCTTTTTTAAATGCCTTTAACATTCGGAAAACTTTGGACTTTCCTAAGAGCTATACAAGTGTCATGGGTAAACTTTTTGCGTTGACTTTGACTTTCAAGAAACCTACAGCCATATCTCACATGTAATCACAGCTGTATTTTCCCTTTCAGCAAGTGTATTCGCATTCTTGTACTTTCTTGGAACCTAATTTTTGCATTCAATGTTATTATTAACTTTATTTTTATGTCTCTTGTCATAACCTAACTCAAAAGATGTTTTGAAGGAGTCAGGCATAAGTGAATCAATAAGCTTATTTTTTTTCAAAATGTTCCAGTTTAATTTAAATTGGTCTTCTAGCTAGAACAAAATGTGTTCCCACTCACCTTAAAGTGACAATAGGCTTCTGAATTCCATGGCTGTAGGTGTCATCTAGTTCAACAACACATTTTCAAATAGGAGATGGAAGACCACAGAAGTCACCTGAAGCTGTTTAGGAGACACAGGCTGGAGCCTGGCATTAAATCTGGTTTTTCTTTTCTTTTTATTCATTAATGTAATTTAAAAAATTTTTGGTTTCTATTTTGCTTAGTAGAAAAGGTTTATATATGGATCACATGTCTGTGTGTGTATCTCTGTGTGAAAGTGTCTGTTTTTTGTAACGCTTATGTATTTTTCTTCCCCTCTCTCATTGGCATTTATCTTGATGTAATTGACGTGAGGTTTCTGGTCCTCATAAATTTCCTATTATTTCTGAAGCTTTGAAAAATTATTAAATCTAATTTAGAAGTGTAAAATTCCAACTCAAACTTTGGAAGTCAAGTTAAAACTCCTCTGTTTGGTAATCTCTGAGATGCTATATACAAATATCATCCTACTTACTAATTGTTCAGCTCTTTTCTTAAATCATACATGAATGACTTGTCAAAGATAAAGTACTGGCATCAGAAAGATTCTCAATATCAGGACTTGAAGGTCATGTTACACCTCAGTCTGGAGCTTCTGAGAATGGACCCCTGATCTCCTATCCTTGTAGAATCCACACTTCCCTGGTGAGGCCTAAACCACAGCTGGGAAGAACCCCATGTTCCTGACCTGGATCAAGGGAATGCTACCCCCACAATGGTGATACTAATGCTTTTTCACAGAAAGTGGCTTCCAAGTTGAACAAGACAGGCAAAGGGGACATGGCAAATCCTCCTCTTACCACTTATGCTTAGAGTGACATGTCTGTTCATGTTCACAAGTTGGTGTTAAAGCAACTCACATGGCCATATCTGTCTAGAAGGGGTCAGGGGAGTGCAACTCTTTTATGTACCCAGAAAGGGGGAGAAATATTTGGTAAAGACTACTAATGACTACCACCGTCTGCAACCCTCACTTTTTCTAACTATGATTGTAATGACACCCTTTGCCTTTACAGAGTATAGCTGTGCCTAATCAAAGGGCACACCAGCCAGATCTAGAGATGGGAGTGACTTCTAAGGAGCATGGACTTCACCTGGGAAGGTGATGGGCTTGCTGGGGAGCTGTGGTATTTGAGACCCAGATGGTTGACTCATGAAACAGTAATCCAGGAGTGAAACAGAAACCAAGCTCTTAGGCAGGCAGTACTACCAAGTCATCAATATGAAGGGACCAGGCAGAGAGCAGGAGACTCGGATACTGGGGAAATCAGACAAAACAAGAACCCACCTACCTGCCCTCTGTCCTCCTGACTCCCACAAGTACTTTTTGTGCACTTATGAAGTGGCAAGTACTATTTGAGGTTCTAGGGATTTAGCAGTGGAAAGACCAGTGGAGGAACTAAAACAATTAAAAAAGTGTCTGAGGACTTGAGTGTACACAGGGGGAGAGACCCTGTCAAAGGTCATGTGTGTGCACTCTATGCTCAGTATTTCATACCCATGGCTCATTTGAAACATGCAAGAACTCAAAGAGGTGAGTACTGCTATTACAGGTTAAGTATCCCAAATCCAAAAATCAGAAATCCAAAATACTCCAATGAGCATTTTTTTTGAGTGTCACATCAGTACTGAAAAATTTTCAGATTTTGGATTTTCAGATTTGGGATGTTGATCTGGTAAGTGGAATGCAAATATTCCAAAATCCCAAAAAGTCTGAAATCTGAAGCACTTATAGTCCCAGGCATCTCCGATAAGGGACACTCAACCTGTATAAGCATTTTTTCAATGAGGCAGCAGCCCTTCAGGGTGGTAAACGATTGCCCCATGGTCATGCAGTTGATCCAAGCCCTGGTTTTCTGACTGTAAAGGCCCTTTTCATTTTATTTTTGGACAATAACATTGTCATTTTTAACAGAACAAACATAAGTTTCCAGAGTTTAGATCTCTGCTTTCTAAGGTTACTGTTTTCCGTCTGAGTTCTGTTTTCTGCTGATAATTACAAAGTTTTGAAAATAATTCAAGCCATATATATATATAATTTATAAATACCATACATACATATATATAAAATTGTTTTACATGACTGCTAAGGGATGCTTCCAATTGACATTTTTAAAAGCCAAGTGAATATATTGAAGGTATTTTTTAAAAACAGTTACTTTGATTTGAAACAATCTCTTGTTATGGTAAAAGTAGTCTCATCTCTAAAATAGACAAATATAGACAGCCATAAGATAATTAAATCAGAATCTGTTTTCTCTTTGCAGGAAGTGAATCTAAGTGTCAAGACAGTCCCTGCTCTTTTCAGGCTTATGGTATTAACAGCATCACATCACAAAATGTTGTCAGGTTCTTGGGGCAGCAACAATGCTTTCACTTATAAAATGTGACTACAGTTCTTAAGTTGGTTCCTCTGGACCTCTGTCATCGACACACACAAACATGCACAGTCACTAGTTAGGTTAAGTTGAATTTGGCTTAAGAAGGGCTAGAAAAAGGCTTCTGAACTGTTGAAACCATGCTAGGGGCCAGTTGGTGGATTTTTCACCAAAAGGGTCATACAAATGTCTAGGTTTTTCAGTGTGAGATATCCATATTCTAAAACGCCATTCTGAGCAGGAAGCAAGAAAGGATTGTACAAAGGCTACATTAAAAGTATAATGAAGCCAAATTCTTCTGCTCCAGTTTAGAAGGGGTTTTGCACTTTTTAGGGTGGAATACTTAAAACTCAAAATTCACAGATCAAACAGGTACACAGGCCACAGGTACTCAGGGGTTGGATGTTACCAAAGGGTTAAAAAAAAAAAGAAGGGTCGAGAGAACAGGAATTTTCTTTCTATAGCACTGTCTGTGAGATGGAGCTCTGAGTATAAGCAATCATTTCTGGTTCTCCAGATTGGAAAAGTCATCAGGAGATCACATCATAATCTGTTAAGTAGACAACTATCCTTTCGTGGTGCCAAAGTTTCTATTTCTGATTCTTTGGTCACACAGTGACTTTCTGGGCTATGAAATAGTCTATGCAGTGAAACTAGTTATCATAAAAGACATGCAAAAACCTTTTCACAGTCTTTGTCCTGGAATGCACAATTGTAAATTGGCATGCGACTTTCTAATTCAGCCTGAGAGTATTGTTCCTTTCCAAGGTTTGGGCACTTGCTGCTGTTACTAAGATAGGAATTGTACAGGTGGTGGCTCAGTCCCAAGTGAGGCTCGGCCTGAATAATCTCACTATGCAGAAGTGAGAGCACCTGGGGAGAAGAGACAGGCTCCTTGCTTCCTGGATTACCCTGACTCTACTGCAGCCACAGCGCTGTTCTTGAGTTTTATGTCAGGTGAATATTAACAACAGCAGTAGGATAGGTTATTAGCTAGTCAGCATGCTTTTTAGGAAAAAGCACAGAAATTTGGAAGGTTTTTGATATATCCTAACATATGATTTGTGTGATGTCTCTGAGGCTCACTTCCCCATTTAAAAATAGAAATAATGTGGTCTGGTGCGGTGGCTCATGCCTATAATCCCAGCCCTTTGGGAGGCTGAGGTGGGAGGATCACTGGAGACCAGGAGTTCGAGACTAGCCTGGCCAACATGGCAAAACCCCATCTCTACTAAAAATACAAAAATTATCTGGGCGTGGTGGTACATGCTTGTAATCTCAGCGACTTGAGAGGCTGAGGCAGGAGGATGGTTTGAATCCGGGAGGAGGTTGCAGTGAGCCAAGATTGTGCCACTGCACTCCAGCCTGGGTGACAGAGTGAGACTCCATCTCAAAAAAAAAAAAAAGGAATAATGATATGCTCTAGTGAAATTAAATGAGATGGCACACTTACTTACTTAGTAAGTCCAGAATCTGGGGCATAGTAAGGATGCAAAAATGTTAGTTCCCTCATACTCCTTCCCTTCTCTGTAGGAAGAAGTGATTTCGATCATTTATGTTAATACAGATTCCCTTGTTATATAAAATTAAAATTGTAATTTATTTGAGATCAACTTAGAACTTTGTTGTTGCAAAAACAGAGAGATAGCAAAATGTAACCCAAAAAACCCCTCAGATTATGGTGACTCAGATAATTTCCTTTCCAGCTCAGCAGTGTCAGGTAGAACTTGAGTAATGAGTGACCCTGAATCTGATTTACTTCACTTAAACTGCTCCTTAAAACCATTCTTTGTGGTGCCTTCAAGATGGTAGCACGTGATGGTGATGTCTTCCTCAAATGGCCCTTGTGATAACCAGTTAGTTGCCGTGTCACCTACCTCAACAGAAAGGAAAAAACATTTCAATGTGGAGAAAGATAAAGTGTGCTTCTTTGCTAGAAATGGCTGTAAAGTGCTACCAAGTAGAAAAATCTAGAAACAAACTCAAGGTTGTCGAAAAGATTCTAAAACTCTTCCTTTCCTAGATGAGGGACTGTTATTGCAAAGACAATCTGAGGCCTGTGGATTTTAATCAACACAGGTTACCCAAAATATGTAAATATACAGGGAACTGACTCTCTGTATTTATATAGCTATTCATTACTTTTGTTTGTGACTCTATGCAAAGCATATTTATATAAAACAATACAAAAACACATAATAGACCATGAAAGTAACATGCAGAAAGCAGCATTACCTTGATCTGCTCTGAGGGGGCATCAGCCTCCTGACTTGCTTGTGCATTCAGGTGGCAACAAATACATTATTATCTGATCTCAGTTTTAAAAAAGCAGGCACAGAGCACATCACGCCAAATGTTGAAATGATCAAACTAAATAGAAACTTGCCTAATATGAACAGCGCTACTCACCATCACATGCTACTTAAGCAAAACTATCTTGAAGGCACCACAAAGAATGGTTTTAAGGAGCATGTACACATGTGTTGAAACACCATACTTTATTCCATAAATATGTACAAATATGTCAATAAAAATAAAATAAAACTCAAAAGAAAAAATGAAATCTGTTATCGTCACATCTTTTTTACCTTTATCACATCTAGTCCCACCCCACGGATCGGTTTCAGGAAATGAGGCATTGGTGTAATTACATTTTCAGACTACTGAAGTTTAACATTTAAGTACTGAACCCTTTTATTGTAAGCATTTGTGATGAGAAGTTTTCTTAAATGCATCACATTATTTCCCTGCTTTGTGAATTAAATGTGCTAAATGCTATCTAGCCTTTTTTTTCTCCAAGCAAGTAGCATTTTTACTTAAATTTTTTTTTTCAAGTATACAATACATTAACAATAGTCCCCATGTTGGACATTAGGGCTCTTGAAGTTGTTCCTCCCACTCAACAAAAATTCTGTATCCTTTGATCATCATTTCTCTAAACCTCGCCTTTTCCATGGTAACCACTCTTTTACTCTCTGCTTCTAAGAGTTTGACTTTTTTAGATTCCACATGTAAGTGAGATCATGTAGTATTTGTCTTTCTGTGCCTGGTTTATTTCACTTAGCATAATGTCCTGTGGGTTCATCCATGTTGCAAATGACAAGCTTTTCTTATTCTTAAGGCTGAATGGCATTCCCTATGTATATATACCGTATTTCCTTTATTCATTCGTCCACTGATGGATGCTTAGGCTGATTCGAGATCTTGGCTATTATGAATAGTGCTGCAATACTCATGGAAGTGCAAATATCGCTTTGATATACTGATTTCATTTTCTTTGAATATATACCCAGTAGTGGGACTGCTGGTAGTTCTATTTTTAATTTTTTGAGGACCTTCCATATTGCTTTCCATAATGGCTGTACTAATTTACCTTCCCACCAAGGGTTCCCTTTCTCTACATCCATCTAACGGCCTCTTAATGACTCAATTTTTATTAAACAAATAGTTGAGTGGGTAAGAAACTCCAAAATGATTCAATTTCCCAGGCCCATCCTTGTATTTTACATCTGAATGCTAGAGATGCTAAGTGACTTGCTAATGCCTACACAGGTGGATATACCAGGAGCTCACCCTAATGCCTAAGTTTCCTAATTCCTAATTTCAGTGGTCTTCCTAGTAGACATAATTCCCAATAATATTGAATTATTGGTCCTTGCTGTTGTTCTCACCAGGCGGGTTCTTCCCTTAAATTCAAGTGTGCCCTACTGTCTCTCCTACTTCAGGGTTTTCCTCATTTGTCACCTTCTCAGTAAGGTCCTCCATGATGGCCCTATTTAAATTGGCAACCTCCTTCCACTCATGGCATTCCTTTCAGTTTTCTTTGATTTATTCTTTTCTCTACAGCAGTGATCACCTTCTCACATTCTATTTATTGCCTTTCCCCTCCCATTAGAATGTAAACTCCATTAAGAAATTATTATTATTTTTTGAGACGGAGTCTCGTTCTGTCATCCAGGCTGGAGAGCACTGGCGTGATCTCGGCTCACTGCAACGTCCACCTCCCAGGTTCAAGCGATTCTCCTGCCTCAGCCTCCCAAGTAGCTGGGATCACAGGCACATGCCACCATGCCTGGTTAATTTTTGTACTTTTAGTAGAGATGGGGTTTCACCATGTTGGTCAGGCTGATCTCAAATTCTTGACCTGTGACCTACCTGCCTCAGCCAAGAAAATATTTTTGTCTGTCTTGTTCATGACTGTATTCCTAGGGCTAGAATACAGCCTGGCAAATAATAGGTGCTCAATAAATACGTGTTAAGAAAATCATATATGACAGATGCACCTGACGGCAGAAACTTAACTGAAGCACACCCTGAGAATGACCTTATGGGCTAAGAAGAATGTGTGTTCAGAGTTCCAAGTTAAGGAATCCAGGAATGGCCAACCCAGAGATTCAGTCTTTTCCGGTGAGGAACATCTGAACCTCCAGCCCATCCCATGGAATCCAGGCCATACAGGGGATTGAGGCCTTTTGTTTTGGATTGAATGAAGGTTGCCAAGTGGAGGTAGCTAGCTGGAAGGTGGTAAATGAAAATGCTATGTAAACTGCATGCTTTTGACTGAGTGCAGTGGCTCATGCCTGTAATCCCAGCACTTTGGGAGGCTGAGGTGGGCAGACTGCTTGAGCCCAGGAGTTCGAGACCAGCCTGGGCAATGGGGTGAAATCCACTGTCTACCAAAAATACAAAAAATTAGCTGGGTATACTGGCATGTGCCTGTAGTCCCAGCTACTCAGGAGGCTAAGATGGGAGGACTGCTTGAGGTGGAGGTTGCAGTGAGCTGTGATTGTACCACTGCACTCCAGCCTGGGTGACAGAGTGAGACCCAGTCTCAAAACAAAAACACAAACAAAAAACTACCGCATGCTTTTCACAAACGGTAGCTGTTCTCCTATCCAGCCCATAGCCACTGAACCACCCTATGTAAATCCCCTCATTAAACCCTATATCACATTCACTGGCTCTGGGTCTCTTCTTTGGCCTCAAATATGGTGCCTGCCATCCCTATTGAAGTCCACAGGGGTCCAGCATGACAAATCACTAGTCTGAATGACTAAAACCTGACAGAGTTTGAGTTCTGAATAAGTCAGTTCAATAACAAAGAGATTTATATGTTATTTTTTTTTTTCTGCTGGTAGAAAAGGTATACGAAATTATTTGTTCAGCAAAGTCTGGTTTGAAAAAAAAAAGGAAGGTGGAATTTTAGCTGGTTAATCAGTATCAGAAGTTGACTTCCTATCAGATGATACAATAAAATATATATTGTATTTACAGACATATTTCTACCAAACTACTTAAAGCATTGGTGACTATACCATCAGCTAAATTTTTAACTAAAATAATGGTCCCCTCATGAAAATCCTCTGTAAGTGCACCCGGAAAGGATACCATCAATGTCTCATTTTGTTCACCTAAAAGCTGTCTCACTG